GGCCTTAGCGCCTCCTCCTCCGTGGGACGGTCTCTGTTTCGAAACCACCCAACGGGCCTTCGTGACGGATGAACGCAACCCCATCCCAGGATTGACGTGAGCTTTTTTTTTAATTAAAAACCGTCCGCAGAGAGAAGCCGCTCACCCAGCCGATGTCTCCATCTCCAAGTCAGCCCTGTACTCCCGCATCGGGGCCGCGGAGGCCGAGAAGCCCCCCGGCCTCCTGTTCCAGCCACCGGACCTCGACGCCGCGCTGCAGGTCGCCCGGGCAGAGGTACGTGGCGGGCGGCAGGCCAGGCCAGGCTGGGGCCCTGCGTCCGCCCCGTGTCAGTAAACACGGGCCCTCGCCCGCCTCTGGACCCCTACTTTCCCTCTGACCACCGCAGGCACAGGAGGCCAGACTGTGGGTTTGATCTTCTTGATGCGATTGTTTCTCTTTTTTCAAATAGATTTTTATTGACGTCAGAGAGGAAGGGAGAGGGAGAGACACATCCATGATGAGAGAGAATCATGGACCACCTGCCTCCTGCACACCCCCCACTGGGGATCGAGCCCGCAACCCGGGCCTGTGCCCTGACCAGGAATCGAAGCGTGACCTCCCGGTTCCCAGGTCGACACTCAACCCCTGAGCCTCGCCGGCCGGTTCCACCCGGTTGTTTAATGAGCCTTTGTGGTCGTTTGATTTATAACGAAAAGCGCCGCCCTCTGGTGGCTCCCAGTGGGCGTGGTGAAGGCCGGCGTCTGGCCTCCTCCTGCCTCGTGCACCGGGGACACTCGGGAAACAGTTACTGGACGTAGGACATCTTCGTTCCACGGTGATTCGCTGGGTCCTGTCCCGTCCGGGAGCTGCTCGGGTCTGGACGCTCTCACGGGGGCCCAGCGTTGTCACGGTTCCGACGCATGTCCTCTTCTCTCCGGTGCTAGGTCCTCGCCAAGGAGAGAGAGGTCTCCGAGTGGAAGGAGAAGTACGAGGAGAGCCGGCGCGAGGTCATGGAGATGAGGTCAGTGCGGCCCCCGGACAGGGTCCTCCTCTGTCCCAGGTTCAGAGTCCACCGTGTGCGCCCGGTCTCACTCGGATTGGAGTAGCACGGACAGGTGGTGACCGGTGCGATCACACGCCCACAGTGAGAGCTCTCCTCCCCCTCGCGGCCTCCAGCTCCACGACCCGCAGGCAGCCGGCACTGTGTCCAGGGAATCCTTCCAAGCACTTTCCATTTCTCACGGCAAACGTGCCAGTGATCTGCGGAATGGGCGGCCCCTGGCACTGTTGTGACTTAGCGTGTCCTGGATAGATTCAGATAAAACGGCTGGAGCTCCGAGGAGAAATCAGGGAGGGCTGCTGGAGGAGGCGGCGTTCGCCCTGGGCCTCGGGGAACAGAGAGGCTGGGAGGTGGGAGTAGGAAGGGAAACGCACAGCACAGCGAGGCACGGGGTGAGGCAGCCCGAGGGAGCCTTCTGTTCTCACCGGGCCGCTGTGCGGTGAGCTGGCGTGGAAGGCGGTCAGATGGGGGAGGAGCCGGGCAGGCGGGTGAGGCCCTGGTGGTCAGGCTAAAGGGAGGCCTTTAGGTTCTCAGTGGGTGGTGGGAGGCCTGGAAGGCTTTGCACAGGGCATGGTGTGAGCTGCCTCAGGCAAGAGGAAAAGAGCCCGTGGGTGTGTGAGGCGAGGGCAGCAGTTGGAGGTGGCCCGAGACGGGTGAGCCCAGACCTGTCCTCCGGCCCTTGGTCCGGCTGCCGATGTCCAGCACGCGGCCCCGTGTGAAATAACCCGCTCTGTGCTGTTGTCACGGTTCCGACGCGTGTCCACTTCTCTCGCAGGAAGATCGTGGCCGAGTACGAGAAGACCATCGCGCAGATGATAGGTGGGTGTCCTGCCCGGGGGCTCTCCTGGTCTCCTCAGTCGGGCATCCCTGGCTCTGCCCCGGCCGAGGGCCTGGGGCCTCCTGGACACACCTGCCGGAGGCCCCTCACCCTTACGCAGGCCCGTGGGTGCCGTGGCGTCACCTCGATGGCCATCGCGGGACCGGCCCCGACGGCCCACCTCCTGGGTTGGTTCCTGGGATGTTTGGGCTTTTGCTCCTGGGAGAGACGAGGAATCCAGTCTACACCCCGAGCTCGCTTAGCCTCACCCGGGGCCTGGCGAGGCTGGGGGAGCTGTGGCCGCCTGCCCATGGCTTCCCTCCTGATGTGGGCGCCTGGTATCTGACCAACCCCAGGGCATCCCAGCACAGCCTCCCGGCAGCCAGCGCCCTGGGCCGCCTCGGCCTGCGGGGAGCCAGGCCCCGGGGTGAGCTGCACCCGGCTGGTCTCTGTCTTCGTTAACGAGGGGAGGTCCAAGCCCAGTGTCTACACGAATGGTCACTTCTCGAGGGGGTCATTTTTTGTTTGTTTATTTATTGGCTTAGGTCCATGTTACCAGTTTTTTAAAAAATCTTTCCCACCCTGGCCGGTGGTTCAGTGGTTACAGCATCCGTCCCCCCGCCCCCACACACCACCCCCAAAAGGTCTCGGGTTTGATTCCCAGTCAAGGGCACAGACCTCCGTTGCAGGCTCGATCCCCAGCCCGGTCGGGGCACGTGTGGGAGGCCACCAATGAATGTGTCTCTCACATCGATGTTTCTCTGTCTCTCCTCCTCCCTTCACTCTCTTACAAAACCAATCGAAAAACATCCTTGGGTGAGGAGTCACAAATCGTAAAAACCTTCTCCTCCTGCGGACGTGGGGTGACCCGCTCCCCGCCCACCACCGTCCCTGTCCACACGGACCCTGACCTCTCCCTCAGCGTCTGGGTGTCACACACGCCGCACCCCGCGCCTTCCCGGGGTCATGGTCAGAGGAGCTGGGGCGATGGCCAGGCTGACGGGTGCGTTCCAGTCGAAGGAGCTGTGGTTTGGGTTTATTGCAGGAAAGGCCGTTTCCTCACCTGGAGGCGCCCCACGGGTCATGCCTTCTTCTGCTCTTGGGGTGACGTGGAAGCCAGTGTTGAGCTGGGGGGGAGGCCGCTCAGCCATCTTTGATTGCTTAGCTGTTTGTTGTTGTTTTTAAATTGACTTAAAGAGAGAGAAGGGAGAGGGAGAGAGAGAAACATCACTGATGAGAGAATCATGGGTCGGCCGCCTCCTGCGCGCCCCTGACTGGGATGGAGCTGGCGACCCGGCTGTGCCCTGATCGGGAATCGAACCGTTAACCCTTCGCTGCACAGGCGGCACCCCCCATTCGAGCCCCAGCGTCCTCCTGGGCACCATCGTCG